CTTTATTTTTTGTCTTGGCCGATTGTGGGGGTGGTGGCCCCCCAGCGTTAGCCGTCGGAGCGCCCGTCCGTGGTGCAGGCATTGTAGGAGGTGCCATCGAAGACAAAAGGGAAGACACAGGGGGCCCCGTCGCTGTTGCCACCGTTGGTGTAGAGGACTGTGGGGTGAGGAGGGGTGAGCACGGCACCGGGCTCTGGTGAGGCCGGGCAGGGGCTGCAGCTGCTGCTACTCACGCTCGCTGGGGCAGAAGCCGTATTTCTTGTCGCGGTCGTAGCTGGCGGTTGTGGCACACCAGGGCAGCCCGTCTGTGCGCCCCTCCGTGATGCACCGTGAGTAGGAGCGGCCCTCGAAGATGAAGGGGAAGTGGCAGGCAGCCCCGCTGGCGTTCCGGTCTTCACCACTGCTTGGAGAGGGGCGGCTCAGAGACAGGGCTGGGCGGGTGCCATCAGCCCCCCCTGACCCACCATGCTCTGCCCTTACCTAAGCCGGTTCCCAGTGTCCAGAGCTCATCATCATCAAAGTGGGCATCACCCTGGATGCCGCGGCCAGGGGGAAAGGCGTGAGCCAAGAGCCCATCCTTGCCATCGAAGGGGTACCCGTCCCCGTGTTCTGTGGGGACAAGCACCCTCAGAGCTGGCTCCAACCGACGAGCCCTTGTGCCCCTGGTGTGGACATGGACCCCCGAGCACATGCCCTGTGCAACCCCCACATGCCCACACATGCCCTGTTGGCACATGAGGGGACAGAGGGATCCCAGGCATGGCGTGGGGTGATGATTCCATGGGCAGGGACATCACTGGCCCCTTCCCCATGGCTGAGCCATCTCCCAGTTCCCTGCCTGCCAACGGGACATCACCTCGGCTGCCAAACATGATCATGATGTCCGCCTCGCCACTGTATATCTGGGTGAAGGTGAGGGGGGTCACATCGCTCCACACTTTGAACGCCCGCTTGAAGGCATCATCGATCACGGCACGGTCCAGGTCAGGGGAGTAATTCATCACCCTGGTGGGGAGCACAGGATCAGTGCTGCCAGGTCATGGCTCCTGATGCAGGAGTACGCAGCGGGGAACCATTGCCCTGTGTGCACAAAGCTTCATCTCCTGGGGCAGACTCACCGGTATGTCAGGTCCATGTGGTCCCATTTGAGGTCCCCCTCGAAGGTGAGGAAGGTTCCAACATCGGGCACGCCGCAGCGAGGG